GAAACCTCACATTCCCCTAAAGTAGTCTACCACAGCCACTGGAGATCCGGCCGAGGGCGGCGGCGGGGACGCCGGCAGGGCAGGGGGGACAGAGCGGCGGTACCCGTGCCGGAGCGCGGCCGGGGCGCTTCCGGCATGGCGCGGGGATGGCCGCGGGTCCCGGACCCTGGTGCTACATCCGCGGGGCCGGGCTGGCGGCAGGAGGGCGATGCCCCGGTGAGCCGGGACGGGACCCCGGCAGCGTCACCGCGGCCGCCGGGCCATCGCTCCCCTGCCCACGCGTGGTTTGGAGCGAGCGCGTCCGCCGCGTCCCCTCGGTGCCCTGCGTGGGGTGGCACGGGGCACCGCGGCGGAGCGGCGGTCGGTGCGGCCGGGAGCCGCGGTGCGAGCAGAGCGCGGGCAGGTGCTGGCAGTGCGGTGGATGGTGCTACTGCTCCGGGGCCCGGTGCGGCCCCGGTGCCCGCGGGGCGGCCGGGCCCGGCGGGGCAGGGACTGGTGCTAGGGCGCGGGGAGGCTCCCGGGGGCCCGGGCCCGTCGCTGTCTCTTCTCTAACTGTGAAAGGCGCGGGCTCCGGGGCCGCGCTCGCTGCGGGGTGCTGGCTAATGGCAGCGAGCCGCGGCCCGCGCGCCCCGAGGTGCTGGGACCGACGGCGGCGAGGGGCGAGGGCCCCCACCTCCCCTCCCTCCTGGTGCTACTGGGGGCTTGGGGGCCCCTCTGGGTGCGGGGGGCACGGGGAGCTGAGCTGGCGCAGGCGGCCGCGGTGGGGGCACCGCGGGGCCTGGCTTTGCCGGGGAGTGAAGGTGGCGAGGCAGGGGAGCGCTGGTCCCGGGCTCTGGGCTCCTGCTCGCTCCCGGGGCCAGATGGATGGCACAGGACGGCACAGGATGGCACAGGATGGCACAGGACCTCTGCACCGGGCACAGGTCCTGCCTGCCTGCTGCTGTCTGAGCCCCCATGGCCCCACAAGCCTGTCTGTGGGGCTGGCATGGCCCCGGGCGTCCTGTGTGTGGGGCACGGTGGGCACTGCGGGTCCTGCACGGCCCTGCAGCACTGCTGCAGGTCCTGCATGGCTCCGTGCCCCTGGCTGTGGGTCCTGCATGGATCCACGGCGCTGCCCGTGGGTCCTGCAGAGTCCCACAGGCCTGGGTGCAAGTGCTGCATGGCCCTGCAGTGCTGATTGCAGGCCCTGCAGTGCTCATTGCAGGCCCTGCAGTGCTGATTGCAGGCCCTGCGTGGCCTCACCGTGGCAAATGCAGGTCCTGCATGGCTCCGTGGCACTGGGTGCTGATCCTGCATGGCCTCGAGGTGCTGGGTGCTGGTCCTGCACGGCCCTGCAACGTTGTTGGCAGGTCCTGCATGGCTCCGTGGCACTGGGTGCTGATCCTGCACGGTCCTGCAGCTCCGGGTGCTGACCCTGCGCGGCCCTGCGGCTCCGGGTGCCGGTGCTGCCCCAATCCTGCGGCGCCGTCGGCGGGTTCTGCGCGGCCACGCGCCGGGTTCGGGGGTCCCGGCGGACCCCCGGCTCAGCCCAGCCCTGCAGCGCTTGCTGGGACCCCCTTGGCCCCGCTGCACCTTCGGGGGCCGGGTCCCAGCGGGTGCTGCGGCGCGGCGTTGGCACGGCCCTGCCGGCGCCGGTGCCGGTGCCGGTGGAAGCAGGTTCCTGCTGGGAGCAGGTGCCGGCAGCGGTGGGGACCGTGGGGATGCCTGGGGCAAGAGTTCAGTTTTTAACGTACCCGACTCACATCTTTTTTTAAAAAACAACCAGAAAAATTCTGTTGCACAGCCCTAGATGAAAACTCAAAAACAACACAGCAAGGCCTGAATTCCTTAAGATCCGCCGAGGGAGTGGGGACAAACACGGTGCTAAAACATTTTATTAAAAATATATATTGTTAAATTAAGTCTGCTGTCTGGACAATGACTGTTTTGTTTCTCGTAGTGGAGTTTCAAAGAGCACTATTATTTTACTCTTATATATTATTATTAAAAAAAAAAAACAAAAAAGAAAAAGGCATTTTAACTTTGTACTTGAAAACTAAATGAGAGATTTCATGTGTTTTAGCCTAGACATTGAAATAGCTGACGCTTAACTATTTGTGGGAATCATGTACTCATCATCCCGAGGAATACGCTGTAGAGCTGGTACCCTCCTTCCTCCCTTTGATTTGGCATTCCCGGCGCCGCCGCGGCCGCCCCGGCTGCTCTCCCTCCCCTCCCCTTCCCGGCCCCGACCCCCCGGTTTATTTTCTACTTCTCTCTCGGTTCGTTGCCCCTGTTTTTTTGTTGGTTTGTTTTTTTAGGGTCGCTTCTCTATTTATTGCCGCTGAACTGTGCATTTCACGGCCGGAGGTGCCGCGGGCGCCCGGCGCTGTTGTATCTGTGTGAGTATTGCTCGTGACATAGCTGTTCTGAACTAATAAAGGTCAATGCGTGCAGCAGATGTAGAAAGTCTGTCCGTCCCGCTTCCATCCCATCCTCCTTTTCTTTTTCTTTGGTGCCCAGAAGAGTATAATACAGACGAGCTCCTTTCTAATGTACTTGTGCTGGAGAACACTTGAATAAATGTCCTGTTTTGTGCAAAAAAAAAAAAAGAGAAAAAAAGAGGAAAAAAAAAAAAGAGAGAAAAAAAAAAAATCCCCTCTGTGTGGTTGTGTGGTTTGTCTGTCGTGGGGTGGGTCCTGGCAGCTCCTGGTGCCTTTGGGGTCTGGGGGACAGGGGGGTCCCAGTGCAGGTGCTGAAATCCAAAGGTGTGGTGGAGTCACGGGGTGTGGGGGGTCCCAGCAGCAGCGGTGGTGGTGGGGCGCTGGGATTGGGGTGATTGTGGAGCCCTGGAGAGGCAGGAGGTGGGATTGGGGTGATTGTGGAGCCCTGGAAAGGCAGGAGGTGGGATTGGGGTGATTGAGGAGTCTTGGAGAGGCAGGAGGTGGGATTGGGGTGATTGTGGAGCCCTGGAAAGGCAGGAGGTGGGATTGGGGTGATTGAGGAGTCTTGGAGAGGCAGGAGGTGGGATTGGGGTGATTGTGGAGCCCTGGAAAGGCAGGAGGTGGGATTGGGGTGATTGAGGAGTCTTTGAGAGCCCTGGTGGGACCCTGGCAGGTGCTGGGGTTGGGGTGATTGTGGAGCCCTGGAGAGGTAGGAGGTGGGATTGGGGTGATTTTGGAGTCTTTGAGAGCCCTGGCAGGTGGGATTGGGGTGATGGTGGAGCCCTGGAGAGCCCTGGGGTCCCTGTGGGTGGGTGGGGGGTCCCAGTGCAGTGGGGTCCCAGCCCTGAGGTGATGGTGTTCCCAATGAGTAATGGGCCCCAGGGGTCCCAGTCCCAGGTGAGGGGCTCTGGGTTGACCCTTGGGCACTGAGGCCTCAGCTCGTGCAGCTCTGGGCAGGGGGTGCAGAGCCCCCAACAGAGTGGGAACCCCCATTTCTGCCACGTGAGCTGGGTCTGGAAACTGCCCCGTGCAGCTCCTGCCTCAGTTTCCCCTCCAGCTCAGACTCCTGGGGGCCCCCCAGTGCCAGCCCCAGGGTGCTGGGGCCTGGAGCGGGGTCCCGGTGGTGGGTGGACACGGGGTGGGCAAGCAGTGGCTGTGACAGGTGTGACAGGTGTGACAGGTGTGACAGCCTGGGGACCTGCGCTCTGCCAGGGGTGGTGGCACAGGGCACTGCCAGGCTCTGCAGGGGAACCTCACAGAGCACAAAAAGGCCCAGTGCCCGTGCTGGGCTGGGCATGGATGGATTCAGGAGCAGATGTGGGAAATGGATTTATAGAAAATGTTCAACGTTTGGTAGAAGGTTCACATAGTGCGTATTTGTGTGTAAACTTTGGGATAAGAATGAGAGCCCTGGTGGGACCCTGGCAGGTGCTGGGGTTGGGGTGATTGTGGAGCCCTGGAGAGGTAGGAGGTGGGATTGGGGTGATTTTGGAGTCTTTGAGAGCCCTGGCAGGTGGGATTGGGGTGATGGTGGAGCCCTGGAGAGCCCTGGGGTCCCTGTGGGTGGGTGGGGGGTCCCAGTGCAGTGGGGTCCCAGCCCTGAGGTGATGGTGTTCCCAATGAGTAATGGGCTCCCAGGGGTCCCAGTCCCAGGTGAGGGGCTCTGGGTTGACCCTTGGGCACTGAGGCCTCAGCTCGTGCAGCTCTGGGCAGGGGGTGCAGAGCCCCCAACAGAGTGGGAACCCCCATTTCTGCCACGTGAGCTGGGTCTGGAAACTGCCCCGTGCAGCTCCTGCCTCAGTTTCCCCTCCAGCTCAGACTCCTGGGGGCCCCCCAGTGCCAGCCCCAGGGTGCTGGGGCCTGGAGCGGGGTCCAGGTGGTGGGTGGACACGGGGCGGGCAAGCAGTGGCTGTGACAGGTGTGACAGGTGTGACAGGTGTGACAGGTGTGACAGCCTGGGGACCTGCGCTCTGCCAGGGGTGGTGGCACAGGGCACTGCCAGGCTCTGCAGGGGAACCTCACAGAGCACAAAAAGGCCCAGTGCCCGTGCTGGGCTGGGCATGGATGGATTCAGGAGCAGATGTGGGAAATGGATTTATAGAAAATGTTCAACGTTTGGTAGAA